CCTGTTTTGGGCCACCCTTTCACACCAAAAATCACTTTTTAGGCCTATTAATATCTCTATTAATATATATAATATAATTTAATGAAAATTTATATGTATATAATTTAGATCGATTTAAGCCTATTCTGAAATTTTCAGATTTTTGGGATTTTTCTATATCGAGATTTAGAGCTTCAAAATATCGATTTTTTAATTTATATGGGTATCCTATACAAATTTAGAAATTCTATAAAATCTTTAATAACTTTCTAATAAAAATTGCTAAAAATAAATTATAAAATTTTATTATAAATTTATAGTATATTCAACCTAATAGATTCAGAAAAAATAGAAAATCTATTATAAATAAATATTTATAGGGGTACCCTCAAAATGACAGGGATTATTTATATTACTCTAAACTCACTGTATACTATATTTCTATATCTGTTAATTTTTTTGAATTTTTTTTTGAATTTCTATATAGATTCAAGTTTAAATATCTCAAAAATATATATGGTTTTCTTTTAATAATTGTTATTAAAAAGTTATTAAAGATTTTATAAAATTTCTAAATTTGTATATAATTCTCATACAAATTAAAAAATCGATATTTTGAAGCTCTAGATCTCAATACAGAAAAATCCCAAAAATCTGAAAATTTCAGAATAAACTCAGATCAATCTAAATTATATATATATAAATTTTCAATAAATTCTATCCATAAATAAGAAAGTTAAAAATTCCATTTTTGGTGTGAAAAGTGGTTAAAAAGTGGCCCAAAACAGGGGTGGCCCGAAAGTAGGGTACCCGACTTAATAGGTGCGGAGAAGAAAGAATTAAGAGAGGCTGCTGGGAGCTCAAACTGTTAGTATGAGGGTACTTGATGACCATAAGAAATGGTGATCAAGACAAAAGATGACATTAAAAGTTGGTAAATAAGGAGACGCTGATACACGTGTTCCGGAACAACCACGCGTGCTTGATATGACCGACACGAAAACATTGTCGAAAAACTTAAGAATTCATCAGAAGAGCGGAGAGCGGAGAGCAAAACAAAATCTGGAAGGAGATGTCGACGGAGAGGATGTGGTTAGTTCACGAGTAGGAATTGACTGGGTCTTGCCAAGTATTTTTGCTTAGTCATGATGAGATGATTTTGTTGGTCTGTTTGTCCTCACTTCTTTCCAGCATGCTTCATATCTATCACCACCATGCCTTCAGGTCCATTCGAGGCACTCTTACCAATTTTTTTGTTTTGGCTGGTTTAGTTTCTTTGCGACTCTCAGTCTGAACGTCCACGCGGCTGAGAATGCCGTGCATTGGACTGGGCAGGATTGAAAAATATGCAAATCAAAGTTCATCGAAGAGGGCTCCTATGAAAGAGAAGACTATGTTCATTGATGTTCGTTCATTTAACTAACGCGATACCTAGCTTGGAAAGTAAAAAAGCATTAACCCAAATCGCCACGAAGACGGTTCCAGAATAAGGGGTAGACTTGTGCCGCCTGGAACTTGTCCCTTTGAAACGAGTACTTCTGGCCGCACCATAAGATAGCCCTATCAAACACCAAAGTCGCCAGTGAGCTCAGTAAGGAAATGAGAACTTATGAACTTGCCATTCATCGTACTTACAAAATTTTCCCAAGGCTACTTTGTACCAGGGACGAAGGCTGCTGCAATGCTGACTTCCTGACCACCAAATGATTCTCCCCCAATGCAACCTTTTATCTCCAAATTTCGGCCCTTTATTTTCATCACAAGCTCGAAATCGACTCTGTAATACCTCGATAGTTTGAGACCGTCCTGCTCTATTGTCTCCTGGATAGCTCCAGATCTGATCAATTCGCCGAAGTCCAAATGAACGGTTCCGACTATTTGAGCTCCTTTACACTGTTAGACAAGCCAAACGTTTTGAACCCTTAGACTACATACCTCTGTTCTTAGGGTGTGTGAATTTGTAATGTTGCTCAGTGCTAGTGTCCGAGACATATAATTCTTGTTCATAGATAAAGGTCTTTCGTGTTGCGGGAAAGATGAAATGTACGTCCATACGATATTCTTTGGCGGCCGGGATAATTTCTCCCTGGGTGATGGTCAGTATTGTAACAGGCAAGTGTCGAGAAAAATTCAACTCACCTTCTTGACTACCCAATCCATCACCTCCAAATATGGTACACCGTCACTTGAATCTGTTATTGGTTTAACCTTTCTATGTGCCGGGATACCTATCGGATCGTGTACTTCCTGCAAGAAGAATCCGTAGCTGCACACGCTGATTCTCTCTAGCCCATCGTTTTCCTTATCGAGCGCCCGCAAGATTCCGCCGCTGGCCATCGCAGTTTCTCTGTCACAGGTTCATCAGCTCAGTCAAACATTCGACTCGGGGTGGGATCTTACAGGTATTCCGGATCATTTACGGTTACCAGTTCGATGCAAACACCCGTGTCTCTTTCGAATTTTCTTAGTCGTCTTTCCAATGTCTTTCTGAGAGATGGATTGTTAGAAAATCCTCCAATTAATACAACTTTCTAGATTGTGCCAGCACGAGTTAGCTCTTTCCAAACCGCTAGGAGTTTCCTCCATCAATACCTTTACAGTAAGTCCAGCCTCTCTCGACAGCTTGATCTGATCGAGCATTAACTCCATATTGCCTCGGAGGCATCTCTCAAACATTCTCCAGAAATCGTTTCTAAATAGTGTTAGTTGCACGACCAGCAAAAGGGCAGAGATTCATCTACCTCTTAATTTTAATGCGATTGTCTGCAAAGCCCTTTTCTGGATTTTCGCGAAGGCCTTGTATGTGGAGAGAAATCGTTGCCATATTCCTATCTGTCACATCCATTATTCTCTTCAATGAGTTTTCAAATTTAATTGTTTGCTGGTCAACAATTCCTTCAATAGTTCTCCCATCGGTCTCTAAGTCAGACTTTTCACTCTCCAGGCGACCAAACAGATATTCTTTAAATGCTTCGTTCAGGTAGCTGGAGCCGTAAAGTCCGCCTTTGCATGATCAGTAGATAAACTATATGATAAGATGTATGATCCTACCTTGTGCAGCTACCTCTTCTCTTTTTAGTTCAAGTGGCTCCTCATTACCAACAGTGTATGTGGTCGCATCAACTGTTCCTCCACCGGCGTCTAAAAGTATAAAAGTTTCTCCTCCCTTCACACAGTCAGTTGAAGAACCTTTAATGGAGCATTTCTACTTACAACAATGCTGTTGCTGTATTCAAGCACATAAGCTGCTGCTGCTTCAGGTTCCGACACAAGAAACAGGTTGTTAATGCTCCCAAGTTCTGATTGCTGGATAGCGATTTCCATGGCTCTTTGCATTTTTCTGCATGCACTGGGCGACCAGATTACAGGTACGCATAAAACATGTTCCACGATTGTTGTATCTTTGAGTCTCCGGATTTCTTTTAGGTATTTCTTCGCGTGCAAAAAGAGCTGTTCGAGGTATTGGGCAATAACATCCTCGTCGGCTTTGATGGACTTTTTAGCTTTGAGTTTCTTCAAGACTGGTTTCAATTCCTTGCGGATATTCTCAGTTTCATGACTGGTGTCCAACAACAGTTTGGACCGCGAGATACAATTGTATTCCTCCTTATCCAAATCAGGCTCGCTCAGTTTGTCTTGCACCTCGTAACCCCAATACATGAAATTTGGCTTTAAACCAGATTGTGCTTGAGCATCATTGAAATCATCATCATCTGAATCACCTTCGTCGTCAAATCTCAGCATCGGCTCATCGATGTCTGCATTTCTCTCTATCATCAGTTCTTCCAGCTTGGCTTTGGTCGGATACCAACTCTCAGTCGGCACGTCAAGTCGAGGCTTCTTTTGAATTGACATTGGATCAGTGGCGTATCCCCTCACGATGCCGATGTCACCTTTGCTGCTGGCAAAAGCCACACAACTAAATGTCGTTCCGAAATCAGTTGAAATGATCAGACGGTCAACTTCATTTTCGTTTCGACTATCGATCTCCATTGGCGAGCCGCCGTCGATGGCAGTCATATTGCCTTCTGTTTCAAAGAAGTTTGATTCACGAGGCTCTTGTTTTGGGCGATTGGGAGCCTCCGGCGCACGTGGTGAGAACATTTCTGACTCTGGTGAGATTACTTTTGAATTAGCTATAATATTTTGGCATGTTCGGTTGTTTTTGAACGTATGAGACATTGAGAGGGAGTCGGGAGAGAAGTTCATGATTGTGTAACTAACCTGGAAGATGGGTTTCTGTATGAGGCTGAATGATTTGATGAGTGCCAACTTTCTAACACTTTAGTGAAGAAGGACTATCAAAGCTGACAAGCTGTTGGAGACGAAGTATGTTCGTATTTCAGTATAGCCTCGATCGCGATGTCGGCCTTTTCATATAATATTTAAAATTATCAATCAGGAATTCATTTAAAGTGTACTAGGTACGCAGAGAAGTGAATGTAATTCCTACACAAACCGCTAGCGCGTTATCACGTGTCCACATTCACTCATTTCGCGACAATATCTTTTTGATTGGAAAATTTAATACAGTGGTGCCGCTTCATATCATGTGGGTATCCGATACTCGAATCCCACAAAGATTTTACAAACTCTAAGAATTCTCGATCAATCCATTCTAACCACCATCAACTTCAACCTCTATCAACTTCAATCTCCATCAATTTCAACCTCCATCAACTTCAACCTCTATCAACTTCAATCTCAACCTCCATCAACTTCAACCTCTATCAACTTCAATCTCCATCAATTTCAACCTCTATCAACTCCAACCTCCATCAACTCCAACCTCCATCAATTTCAACCTCTATCAACTCCAACCTCCATCAATTTCAACCTCTATCAACTTCAATCTCAACCTCCATCAACTTCAACCTCTATCAACTCCAACCTCCATCAATTTCAACCTCAACCAACTTCAATCACAATCAACTCCAACCTCCATCAATTTCAACCTCAACCAACTTCAATCACAATCAACTCCACCCTCCATCAACATCTCTCAAGATCTTGAATTAAAAATGGCCCAAAAACACCTCGTCGCAAAATGGCTGGAGAGTCATGTTGTCCAATTGCTCTCTTGGGTTGATATTGCAATCAAACATGACAATATCGATTTTGACAAGACTGTAGTTTCTCACCTCAAACAAAAGTGCGATGTGGATTATACTAGTAAACAAGTCTCTCGAAAGCTGCAAGGTTTACTGGATAAATGGGGCACCCGCGACAAAGATAGTACTCGAAGCAGAACTATCATAAACAAAGGTTGCATCTGCCTGGTCAATCTTCCAGATGCTTTGAGAAACCAAATCGCGCTTGCTTGTGAAGACTTTGAAGTTGAGCTCCGCGCCAGCAAACAACCGTCGAGATCTACCGATAGTGGCTCGAAATCGAAAAAACATGAGCGTAATAATGCTCAGGCTAATACTCAAAAGCCAGCACCTGAAGTGCCAGGCGAAAAGACTTCCGGCTCAACTCTTCCCAGGACTCCTATGAAGCTTAGGAAAAGAGTTGCTAGTTCGATTCCAGAGGATTCTCAAAACGCCGCAAAAAAGAGAAAGCTCACTGTTAGTTTAAACCCCATTCTATGATTTCTGCTTTTTATTTGAACAAAAACTGACCGTTGAACAAAATAGCCCGATTCGACCTTTTCACCAGAACTAAAGGGCAAGGAAACTCACAATTCAATTCTTCCTAAAGCACATGCCAAGCGTAAGACCAGAGACCCCGATTTTGACACAGAGGTATCTCAATCTGCCACCAAGAAAAGAAAGGTTAATGTTAGTATATCCTCAATGTTAATACATACTACCTAATTATTTGAATATATACTGATGTATGAAAAATATAGCCCGTTTCGACTTATTCACCTGATCCCCTCTCGCGGACTCACTATCAATCTTCTCACATCATCGAAGATAGCCAGGATGAAAACACGCAAACGGCCAGCGAGGATGGTCAAACTATTGCTCGTGTTCAATCGTCAACATCTGTTCGCAGGGGAAGACTATCACAAAGATGTGATCATTGTCGACGAAGAAAGGTGGCATGTAATGGCGCTCGTCCTGCTTGCTCCAGTTGTATGAAGAAGGGCTTGCAAGGCAGTTGTTCATATAAAAACGCGCCAGCAGTATCCGAATCTCGTGAAAAACGTCTGAGCTTCAGTGAACCGGCTCACCATGTTGAAGATGACATGACTGACGAAGAAACAGGATGCATCTGCATGAATAAACAGACTTATACCGACTGGGTTCAGTGCAAAAACTGCAGTATATGGCAGCATTGTGTTTGTGTTGGAGTGGAAATCACAGAAGCAAAGAACATAGAATTTTCGTGCGAAAGATGCAGCACCGAAGACCCTTATAAGGCGCACATTGAGAGTGAGCCATTTTCGGAAAGCAGCGAGATGCGCGATGAGTCAAGCAATGAATTGCAAACCGACAGCATATTGCTTGGTTTGGCGAAGGAGGAAATCTCACACCTGCGTGAGATTCTCAAAGAAAAAGATTTGGAAATTATTGAAAAAGAACAGCGTCGAGAAACCGAAGCAAGTGATGCAAGGCATCTAAGGACGAACCTGTGGCTATTGGGAAAAGACTCTCCAGAGGTTGCTCTAGATAAAAAAGATCAAGAGATTAAAATCTTAAGGAAAGAACAGCAGACTCGTCGATTCTTATCAAGGTTTACACAGCTCGGTGCCACATCCGACGAGACCTTCGGACATGAGAGTGTTCAAAATATGGTTGATGCATTTAATATAATTGATCAACTACCATTCGATTATGTTCCAGTAATTGTCCCTCCCGGGCTGGATCAGAACCAGGAGCTCAAAAAGATCATTCTTGATATTTTCGGCCAAGACGATACACTCCGACAGACAGCTGAAGACCTTGGAGCCAGCCTTTCATCCATCGACACACTCGCGGTCCACAGAGCTTTGACAGCAAGCTTCCTGAAACTCTGGGTATTCGAGTCCGATTTTCCGCAACTTGAGGGCTCATCCTCAGACTATGTAAAGAGCATCCGAAAAAAAATGATTGATTCAGGTAAGTTTAACATTTCCTCGTTGAATCCAAAATATGTTGTTAATTGACTATCAGACGGACCTAACGCAATGAGAAATCTTGATTTGGCTGCTCGTTACGATGTAATCTCGAGTGCAAAGTTCAAACACCAATACATCTACCCCGAAGCAGAGCGTCTGACTAAAAAATACTCCGAAATTATGGAACCACTATTCGCCAAGAATCCTGGTAGCGAGGTTTTCAAGAATTGGAACGGATTCTCGACATGGAATGATGACAAAGAGACATGGCAGGATCGCCAATCTCGACTCGTTGGAATGTTTCGTCTGGCCTTGAAAAGCAAAGCAGAATCCACATTGAATTTCAGGGATTATGAGTTGGTTGCATTTGCACCAGGTACTCCATATGACCCTAAATCTATGACCAACGAACTCGCTCATTTTAGAAAGGGTGGAGATAATAACGATTGGGTTGTCGAATTTTGCGCTCAGCCGGCAATTTATATACACGAAAAGGAGAAACCAGATGATTTCATTAGCTCCCAAAGCTTTGTGCGCAAGACTGTACGAAGTGGAATCGGCCTGACACCATCTGTTAAAGCTGAGGTGCTTTTACGACGAAAGGATGGTGGCTCTTAGGTTTGATTTGAAATGATAATAATGGCTGCAAAGTAAGTGGGTTGAATGAGCAGCTCGCAAGGACTTCCCAATTCACAAGGATGAAATGTGTACGACTAAGGATGTATAGTAATTAGTGTAGAGATCAGAAAAATCGTACCTTTGGGCTTCTTAGCTTCCGAGAATAGATATTAATATATAAAAGAATGTAGCAAAGTTCACATGTTTGTCGTTCGTGATCTTGTGCCATTGCGATTCTTAGTCTCTCATCAATACATCGTCAAGCTTTCGCAAATTGAGAATACTCGTAATTTGGACTAATTAGGAGTGTTTTCTTGCAGCATTTGAATCATCCATAGGGATCAATTCTTAATTTTCCGGAGTGGTGCTGATCCGGTCATCAATATGTATGCCGAGAAGGGTGACCAGTCGCAGGTGATTTTACCCCACGAAAACATCAGCATTGAGCCATCTCGGCCGTTGTATACTCACCGTCTCATCGGGTTTCAACCAATTAGTTGATCTGGACGATCTCGGCATATCTCACTACTACCTTCCTAAATATATATTCACACAACATACCACGTTACTTGCATTTGCTTATCATGGTTTAGTGCCACAATTAGATAAACTGTTGAAGATCAACGATGTTTGTACACGTCGAGTTCACGATGTGCTACATTCTTCAGAGTTGGACTGTTAGTTCTATTCCTGTCAGCCTTAAGTAAGGTCTTCAATCGTCATCGGAAAATCCCCAATTTCCATCGACTTTCAATATGGTGTTAAAAAGTAAACATACAGTAGATGAGAATACCCTTCACATCACATCTATCTTCCAAAACACAGGAGATGACGCAGTCATCAACCATCTAGTCGACACCGGCGAGGAGATTCTTGTCTCCTTAGGCTACAAACAAGAATTCAAAAGAGAATTATCAATATGGTCATCTTTTGGAGTTTCGTTTTCCTGTCTAGGTCTCTTGCCATCGATCGCATCGACTCTGGGTTATAATCTTGGGTATAGTGGAACAGCGGGCTCGGTATGGGGATGGCTCGTTGCGGGTATCTTGATACAATTTGTAGCATTTGCGATGGCGGAATTGTGTTCGAGTATGCCGACGGCGGGGGGTCTTTATTATGCTTCGGTTGTTTTGGCACCGGAGGGTTATGGACCTTTGTGTTCCTGGGTATGTTTTCAATTCTCCGATATTTGAATCTGGATTAATGTCTTGATAGATAACCGGATGGTCGAATTTTGCTGGTGAATTAACAGCACCGTGTGCGGTGAACTATGCACTTGCGGCTATGATATTAACAGCTGCTCAAATTGTTCATCCGGATTATGTTGTTCAAACATGGCATGTATATCTTTTACTTTTGGCTTTGCTAGTCTTACAAGGTCTTCTGGCTATGAATTCTACTAAGTTTATTGGAGTGCTGAATACAGTTGGAACTATCACGAATGTGATTGTACTCTTAATTTTTGTCATTTGGTTCCCAGCGGGTTCGATCAATGAACCGAAGACAAATCCAAGTAGTATCGTGTGGACTTCTGAGGGTATTGTTAATGGGACAGAATGGCCTACTGGATTTGCTTTTTTGATGGGTTTCTTGTCTGTTATTGTAAGTCAGTCAAATCTTTGGTGCAGATTAAACTAACATGGAACAGTGGACATTGTCTGGTTATGATGCACCATTTCATTTGAGTGAGGAGTGCTCAAATGCAAATATTGCTGGTCCAAGGGCTATTGTCATGACAGCTCAGTTAGGACTGTGGCTTGGTTGGGCAATTATTTTGGTCATTACGTATACTGTGAAGGATATCCAAGATGTCGTTTCTGGTCAGTATGGGCAACCTATGGTAAATATCACTCTTCGGTGAGTTTTGAGTTTCTGACTGACTCTTGACAGGGAAGCTTGTGTCTCCAAGTACTTGGCCCAAACGCTGCACTTGCGATGTTTTCACTCAACATGGTCGCTCAGTTTTTTGTTGGGCAAGGGCATATTACCAATTTCCCCATATTCTTTAATTTATTATGTGAAAAAAGGTTGGCTGACTCCCATCTTAAGTGTCACAGTCGTCTCATCCCGCGTTGTCTACGCCTATTCCCGCGATGGTGCTCTCCCTGGTTCCCATTGGCTCAAACAAGTAAACCCTCACACCAAAACACCCGTCTACGCCGTTTGGTTTGTCCTCACTCTAGGTGCACTTCTTGGTCTTCTGATGTTTGCTAGCCCGGTGGCTATTGGGGCTGTTTTTAGTATGGGTGCTATTGCGCAATACATTGCTTTTGTATTCCCTATTGCGTTGAAAGTTTTTAGCGCAAAGGGGAAGTTTCGTCCTGGTATTGTTCTCCAAAATCCTCAAATCTCTTCCTTTATTTTGGCAATCATCAATCTAGAGCTATGAACTGATACACCAACAGGTCCCTGGAATCTAGGTCGTTTCTCAACACCCATTGGTGTCGTGGCCGTCGGATGGGTATCCCTCATTATTCCCATTCTCTGCTTCCCCTCAGTTACAGGAGCAGATCTAAATGATCTGAATATGAATTACACATGTTTAATATACGGAGGTACAATGACTTTGGCTATGTGTTGGTATGCGATTAGTGCTCGGAAATGGTTCAAAGGGCCAAAGATCAATGTGGAGCACATGCTTCATAGAGATGGCTCCGCGAATGGGTCTCGGAATGGGGAGATGGACGACGCTATTGTGGGAAAATATGGGCAAACGGTGGGTGAGGATGGATCGGATGAGACTAGGGAGGGGAAGGAGTTGAATGGGTGAGAAAAGAAGTTGGGGTGAAAGTGATGATGATTAGGTGATATTTCTCAGGGCAATACAAACAGTGAAATCTAAGCTATGAACTCTAGAACGAGACGGAGAGACGGAGAGACGAAGAGACGAAGAGACGAAGAGACGAAGAGACGAAGAGAATAATAGATGAGATTATGATCTCGCACAAAGATCAAAATCATTGAAAGCTTCGCACCAAGTGCGACTATTATGTGATACAGATCATGTGTTAATCACCATGACCATTATCTTATTGTTCTGGTTTATTTTCCCACCACTTAGTAAGTCCTAATGCTTATATTAACAATCTCAGCAAATCACCGAGTATATTAGCACACTCTAAGAAGATTTTGTATAATAAGGCTGATAATATTTTACAAAAAGCGATTGTATGATAGTTAATTAATAATTAAATTTTATATTATTAAATGTATCTACAATTCTATAAACTATTCTTTTTTTTTCAAATTATTATTCTACAAAGTATATGTAGATTTTGGAGATTCTATATTCTTTCCAATACCTGAATCAACAATTCTGATGATATCTTAATCCCTGGGAGTACATCAACGATATTGTCATCGTTTCAAGTGTTCTTGTCTTCTCTCATCACGACCTAGCAGCTTTCCACTGCAAAATCAAGCAAAATCAGAATGAGTACATTACAACTCGAGGCGAATTCTTCGGTCAATGATTATTCTGCACTTCCGGAAGACAATCAACATCATCTGGATGACTTAGAACATGCTGAGGCTGTCGATTCGATGGAACCCGATTCTCTGGAAGTCTCTACTCCATCACCCGAGACGGCTCAGACTCAGAAGCTATGCCATTATTGCGAACCAATGTTTTCTACATTTGAGAACTTGCAACTCCTCGTCTCCAAAGAAGGCTATAAGCACAACACTTTAAGAGGGGTTAAAGACGCAGCGTATCGCGGATGCGGGTTATGCAAACTTATCACAGAAACAATTTGTGATTCATTCGTAATTGGAAATTCGTGCGTGACGTTGCACGCTCTGCTCACTGAGAAAAGGATCGAAGATAGACTGCCCCTTTCCAAGAGGATCTCGATGTTTATTAAAGAATGCTTACTTCCGAGACTCAAGGGATCTGCTAGATTAACTAAATATCCGTATCATGGACGCAAAATTGTTGAACTTGGAGTCAAAACCTCCGGATCTCTATCCGGCTGGTTTTGTATTTTGGCTGACGAAGGTAAGCTTATTCTTCATACAACCATGCTTTAATAACTCATGTCTTCTAGCGAGTCCGGCGGGTGTGTATATTGAGCGGGAACCTCTTATAGCCATGGATAATTTCAAAAGGACCATTCCCAAAATAAAAGAATGGTTAGATGACTGCTGTCACCGTCACACAAGAACTTGTCGATACTCTACTCCAAAATTACCCACGAGAGTGCTTAAAATAGGATCTAAAAGCACAAGTCTTGTTTACCTATATGTGAGTAGACCCGATCAAAAAGACGACTATATTGCTTTGAGCTACTGTTGGGGAGGACCTCAGAGCTTCACAACAACCAATTCTACTCTGGAACAAAACATGCGTGGCATTGATATTGATAATCTGCCTTTGACCTTCAAAGACACGATTCTCATGGCGAGGAAACTTGGAATACGATACATTTGGATTGATGCACTGTGCATCATTCAAGATAGTGATCTTGATAAAGCCAGAGAGATTGGGGCAATGGGAGACATTTTTAAGAATGCCACGGTGACAATATCTGCGGCAAGCGCAACTTCAGTAGACGGGGGATTATTTAATCAAAAACCCTCTCCAGAGTTACTAGAGATTCCATTCTGCTTGCCCGACAAATCTTTGTCGAAGGTATATATTTCTGAATCAAAAGGCCTCGGCGAGTGGCCTCAAGAACCTATAGATCGCAGAGCTTGGTGTTTCCAAGAATCAATGCTATCGCCCAGACTGCTTTCGTTTCGATCTACAGAGCTGCTATGGCATTGCCAGTCTTTGAGATACGAGCCCGTGGTGAAAAGTTATTATTTACACATGTGGACAAAGGTTAAGATGCCTGCAAATATCTTTGGACGCGACGTAGCAGTATATTTACCAGGCGCACTTCATCGCAGTGAAATTTGGAACTGTATTGTTGAAAACTTCACGGGGCGTGATCTTACGAACCCTGAAGATCGCTTGCCTGCCATATCTGGTATTGCAAAAGAACTCGCTTTGGCGTGGAACGACAAGCATGTTTTTGGTGTAATGAGAAGCACAATCGAACACCATCTGTCTTGGGACACAGAAAGATGGCGGACCTTTCCACGTAAAGGTCATAGCAATGTGAGAAACGGAGGCGCTCCTTCATGGTCCTGGGTCTCAGTTGATTGTCCGGTTCACTTTCGAGAATTTGGTTTGCAAAATTATGTCAAAATCAAATGTCTTGAGATTGACAACACACTAGCGTGCGGTAAAATCGTTCTCAAAGCCAAAGCTCTGTCTTTGAAAGTCCAGCTGATGAATAGTGCGCAAGAAAAAACCTTCCAACAGTTTTACGATGTCCCTGAAGATCTCAAGGCCGAAGCATGCACACTCATGCTACTGGGAGAATGGCCGGATTCCGATTCTTATGGATTCAATCAGTCGTTTTTGATTTTAAAAAGATTGGACAACGGATACTATCAGCGTGTTGGTGGTCTATTTCCCTCCAAATATGTGTACGGGGACGGGGTCGAATTCGCTTTGCACGATTGGATGCCAGCTAAAAGTCTTAGAAATTCATTCGATGCTATTGAGATGTCTCGAATAACTATTGTTTAGTTACTATAGATATCTTAGGATTTGAAAATGCTCTCAGGTTTAGAGTTCTAGGAGCTAGACATTGAGAACGAATGATGATACATATATTCGTCGACTTCGGGGAAGAATCAATAGCCAACATTATTTCTAGACTAATAATGTCCCCTCGATTGAGTCATGGAAATAATTCTCTGTTTAGACAGTCTCACAATCGCGATTGAGTTCTAATCATAGAAGTATCTTATTATTTACGTCACTTTGGGGGAAGCACACGCCTGCGATTACTACGATTTTTTGCTTCACTGTTTGTTTGGTAAATTCGCTCATGGCTTGAATTTATATAGAAAATGGAACACAAGAAGTCAAGAAATAAACAAGCTAAACCCACTCCTATCACACCAGAACAGAAATCAGAGCACTCAAAACCGTAGCAATCCCCTTAAATTCTCATCATACCAAGAACTCCTTAACGACTTCTCAACGTAGTTTTCTCCACTTACAGAAGAAACAGGAATATCGCAAACCCTTTTACAGGTATATAAGTACCTAGCTATATAATCCAGATAGTCATGAATGCCATACCGAGTGATATCCCTTCTCAAGACAATCTAAAATCTCCTTCTCAATCTTTCGAAATACCTCTCAATATTCATACATATCCCTAATCCGTAAATTAGAATATACTCATGAACAAGCAACCGAGTAACAAATATATGCATACCTATATACTAACATCCTATTCACCAACACAATCATCTTCTCACTTTCCCGAATAGCCATTCTAAACACCATATCATTCTCCAAGATATATCAAATGATATAACAAGAATAGTAATCTTACAATCTATTTTCTTCTTACTACTTGAATATAATTTTCATTAATAATTATATATACTACCTCCAATAAAAAGATGTTCTATTTTATTAACCTAAAACCTAATACTCAATAAACTATACATATCAAGAATCCAAACACAATAACCCGGGATATCGATATCAAAACATATCCATATTCCTGTAGTAGCAGAATCCGTAGTTAATAAAACTATTATTTTATTAAATATAATAAAAAAATTAATTTTTAATATTATATTGAGAGAATGGATTATAAAGTATTAATATAATTTATATATATATAATGAGAAAATTTTATTTTTGAAGGATTTAAAGAAATCTTCGAAATTTCTTAATTTTCGAAAGTTTGTAGTTTAGTATAAGATTATTTTCATATTAAAAAGTTTATATGTATTGAATTCGATTAATAATCAATTAATAATCAATTAGGATTGATATAACTATATAGATTAGAGTTAATTGGTATTCTTATTTAAACAATTTATTCTATACTATATAATATAATAGTAAAGCTTTTGATTAAAGAGTGAATTGAAAATAAAGTGAATTAATCCCCCTTTTAAACTTTCGGCTAATATCTTCCGCTCATCTTACCCACCCTCTAACTCCTACACTCGCTCCCCTCCTTTTCCTAACTCTTATACTCATTTCGCCTTCTTTCTTCTAGCTCCTATATATATACCCTTCCATCTAATTTTCCCACAACTCTAATATTCAATATTTGAAATCTCTAAAGATCTTTCTGAATCCTTTTTTTCTTAATATTTATTAAAATTTAATAATAAACGAGTTCTAATTTGAGCTGATTACATTCATCAATAATAAAGTATATAATTCGTTAGGAACAAAAGAAGTTTCAATTCAATAATATATATATTAAATATTTACATAGGAATTTATACTAATATTTTATTCGTACATAGTTATTAACTTTATTACTATAGGGTATTCCTAGAGCCGTAAATTTAATAGGAACTTGCTTATAGCGTATAGGTTTCTCGCGATGGAATAGTTTCGTGATATTTATAAGTAGGTATATTATTAAACTATATGTTATATATATTCTATTATATTAGTATATGATTGATTATTCATCGAGATGATAGTCGAATCGATTCAAATAGATAAATAATAATAAAAAACATTATAAACTTGAAATAATAAGTAGTCTATTACTATAGTAGTCCTAGATTCAGGAAGACTAAGGATTTTAATTAAGCGGGGAGATAATCTATATACGTTATTATTATATTAGTTCTTATATATAGCGCTAGCTAGCTAGTAAAGATTAGGTCGTTTGAATAGATGAATATTCGAGTTATTTCTCATCTCATTTCTTTCTATTCCTTTTTAAGCGAATTTTATCTTGATTTAAAGCTTAGTATAAAACTACTCTCCTAATAAAAGATAATATAAAATCGACATCTTAATTATTAATTATTAAGGAAATTATATATTATTATTATCTATCTAGATATCTAGTGTCAGGGTACAGGTAAAGACTTATATTGTACCATAAGAGTGGAAGAGCTATGGAAGGGTAAGGCCCTCTTATAGGAAGTAGAACACACTAATAGTATATACCTGAGGTATAAAGGCAATATAATTAATGTTGTAATAATATTCTTTTCTTAGGGTTTATTTGTTTTAAATAAGCTAAAATACAATTTAACTAATTTTACTAACTTTCAATAAAATTGTAATAAGAAATTAATCTATAAAACTAATTTACTATTATATTTAAATTAAATGGATAACAAATTTGATTAAATAAGAATCTAAAATCTCTCAGAATAATATTAGAAAACTCTAATTTCTGTTATAAAGTTGAAATGAACTCTTTTAAGGCCTATAATTGGTTAATAATCTTTCTTTAGTTTATTCTATTTTTGTTTTGGGATTATATTTGATATAGAATTATTTGAGGTAATAGATCTTTTGAATTCTATTTATATAAAAGGATTCGATTTATTTGGATTTATTAGATAAAATATAATAATCGTTTTCTTTTGGCTTTTAAAATTCTTAACTAGTTGTTACAATAGTAAATAGTGTTTTTATTTAATTTGATAATAAAATCTGTTTTTATTATAATAATCAAACAATTTATCGAATTCTTATTATTCGGTTTTTTTATTTATATCATTATTCTTTTTTAGGATTCAATTTTGATTATAATGAAATTCTACTTTATTAATTATAATTTAATTAATTAATCTAATTAAATTATAAAGTGATTTAAATAATAAATTATAGAATATTAAAAAAATCTTGAAAATAATAAATAATTGGAATAGATAGATGTATTTATAAACTTTTAGAATCTTATAGAGCCTAATTTATTTATTATTATTCTTTTTTATAAATTGATTAATCTTTATATTCTTAATACTAATCTATATTATATCCCTCTTTTTATATAAAAAGATATTAATATATATTTTGTTTATATAATCTTTATATTTCTGAATAATTTAAGTAGTTAAAACTTTCAGTTTTGTTAAAATAATATCGAACCAATCTATAATCTCATTGATTTTCAGGAATTTGTATTTTTGTTAATATAAAAGGTTTGATAAAATAGATAAAAAGAATTCGATTCCGAATTACAAATAGAAATTATAATTAGTAAAAAATAAGGATATATTAATAATTTTTGAGATAATATTATTGAATATAAACTTTACTAATAATAATCAATTATACTAATTATTCTAATAAAAATTTATAAAAGCTTATAAATATTGTTTTATTATAATATTGAATTTCTTTATTTAATTATTTAACTCAAAATAGAATAAGAAAAATCATTTTAAAATGATTAATAAATATTCGGAAAGATATATCTAAAATACTAATACAAACTGTAAACCTTTATTAGATACAATATTATTAAATATATTATATAAACAATAAACTTTTTTAATAAAATAATCAATAAATTCTTCTATAAATAATTTTATTATCAATATAAAATAATATATTTTTGTTAAATAATAAATAATAGTAATTATATAATTATTTTTGTAATTATAATATTTGCAGATTAGTAATAATATAATATAGTCAATAAAGATATTAGATCAAAATCAAAATGGAATTAGTAAAGATTCGAGAAATCCGGAAATTGTAAAACAAAAAGATTTTATACGAAAATATAATTAATAGACTTATATATAAGCTTTAATCTCTCTTATTATATTAGGTCATCAATATATATAAGAAATGAAATTGATAGTTTTAACACAGTCTGGGTATCCGGCAAATCTGGTTGAATATATTCGATAAATAATTTATATATAGAGTTTAATAAATAAGGGAATAAATAATTGATCCCGATAGAATATTTATTTATTGATTAATCTGCAATCTTAAAAAGCTATTCAAAGATTTTTTCTGATTACTAGTAATTAATAACGAGTAATAGGATTTTGAAGTATTTTATATATATTAGTAATTAATATAAATAAATTATATACTTTATTAATGAAATCATTAATTAGCTTTTCAATATTAGGGATAATAATATTTATAAAAGCTATAATAAGATCTATAATATTATTTATTTATTTAATAAGATCCCTATATAATTATATTAAATATTTATTTTGAAAATATTATTTATAAACAATTCTTAATTTAATTATTATTGAAGTTGGTATATACAGAATAGTTTTTTATCTTTCAATTAAAAATATTAAAACAAATTATTTTATAATCTAATCGATTTATAATATAAAAATTGAATCCTAAAAGGAATTCTACTTATTTTGCTTATTTCTAGTTTAATATTTTTATTGATATAAAGTATTCCAAATTTTTATAATTAATAATAATCTTGAATAGTTTCTGAATTCTATATAACTCAAATCTCTATTCCTTTAAAGACTTAATAATTATTAGTAATTTCTTATTATAAATTTTATAATTATATTTAACTATATTATATTTTAATAAAAAATAAGCAATTAATTATAATCAGCTCTTATTATTATATTGAAAGATAACTCCTTTCATAATTTAATTAGAAATATCTATCTCAATAACTATACAATAATAATAATTGAATAGAATAAGAATTGAAGCAAAAGCAAATACCTACTTCAAATTATTAAAAACGATTTTATAATCAATAGTTTATTATTATATAAACTTCTTTTTCAATA